ATCCCAACACATGGTCATAGGAAATTCTTTAAATTGCTAGGATGCTTTCTTGCAACCGAAAGAAAATTTCGCTAGAGTGGAATTCTTTAGTGGTTGCTAGGGATTTTGGATCTGAGGTACAGAACTAGTTGTTTAATTTTTACTTTAAAACATTGGCCTCCTGAAGTATGATAATAATCAATTCACCATTTTAGTACTCCTAGACTTCTCAAAAGCTTTTGATAAATTAAATCACAGGCTCTTTATATCTATTTTAAATTATATAGGATTCAATGCTTATTCTCAAGCTTTACTTAAAAACTATTTAAATAATAGAAATCAGATGGTGAAAATTAATAAATAATAGCTTTTCTTCACTTGGCCAAGTGTTCTCCGGAGTACCACAAGGATCTTTTTTGGGCCCTTTATTCTTTACAATTTATACCAGTCAATTAATTAATTGTATTAAAAATTGCTCGTACCACCTGTATGCGGATGATACTCAAATTTATAAGTCATTTGATCCTAGTAATATTATAGTAGCTAGTACTATGATAAATAATGAATTAAAGGCCTTAACAGAAGAATCTAAAAAGTACTGTTTAGAATTAAATCCAGACAAAAGTTTTTGGAAAAAAATGGCAAGGCAACAGTATATACAATATATTAATATTCAGGTGGAAAGTAAAAATATTCCTTGTGTGAACTCAGCAAAAAATTTGGGATTAGAAATGGACATAGATTTAAGATTTTCAAAACACATAAGTAACAACATTAAAAAGGCCTTTGCTTTTGCCTTTGCTTTTAAAAATATTTTAAATCGCGAGCTAAAAATGATGCTATGTAATTCTCTAGTCCTTTCTAACCTGAACTACTGCGATACAGTATACTGTATTATTATATATTATTATTATATACATATAATTCCCACATCACCAAATTTGATGCAAATAGAATACAACTTATCCAAAACTCTTGTGTTAGGCTAATTTGTGGTATAAGAAGGAGACATAACACAAAGAATGAAGCAAATGGGTTGGCTACAAATGAGCCAACGACGTGCGCTTCATTGCTTTGTGATGTATCACAAAATTATAAATATAAAATTTCCTTCTTATCTGTTTAAAAAAATATTATATAGACACAATATAAAACCAAGGCACAAACAACGCATATCTCCACCAAAATACAAATCTGTTATGTATCAGAGATCATTTTCTTATGCAATTTACAAGTTTTTAAATCTCTAACCATTAAATTTTATGGTACTTTCTAAGACAAAATTTAAAAAACATATACTACCATTTGTTACTTTAAATTTTTAATTATTAAAATATTAAGAATTAAGCATTAAATATAGATTTATATAATGTTATAGCTTTTTTATTTTTTTTTATTAATTTTGATATTTTAGGGTTTATTTTGATGTTTTAGGGTTATTTGATTACTATTATTTTATTTTGTATTAAATTTTAAACATTTTTGTTATATAAACAATTATAATTGCTACAGATATATATCTCTATAGAAATATATAATTTAGGATCACATGGTTGTATTAATTAAAGTATATGTGTCTACATACACACATATGTATACATATACATATATGTAGGTATATAAATTAAGTATGTTGTTTAGATTTAATTTTTTTAGTTATATGTTAGTATAGCTAGTAGTTCTTAATTATTATGATTATGTTAAAAGGTTAAGTGGAAGAACGGGAGCTCACATTATTTGTGTTCAACCGAAGTTCGCCTTTTGTAACGAATTATTTGTATTTTTTACATATTTTGTTATTATTATTATTATTATTATTATGACATTCCATTTTGAAAGGTTAGTAAACACAGGTGGCCTTTAAGACAACAATGACAATGACAACTTTTGAAATTACCAAATTGAAGGAGCTCACTTTTTGTAAACGTCACCTACCTTAAGCACCATGGAAATTTAGTTGTGTAGCAGAAGATTACATTAAATAATCCATATCTAATTAAAACGATTGTACAATTAAAATACTGCCAACAATTCCTGAATTCTAATTTTCAACCTGTTTGTGGCAAAGATTACGAAGAAACAGCTCTAGAGCTGTCTACTATGTAGCAAATGTTTACATGAAATCGAGGGCAACATTCCATGGAATATCCACTTTGAATCCGAGTATCAATTTTGCTAAATATTGTGCATTAATTTAATTAACTTAAAAGCACTTTTGCTATTATCTTTGAGCTAGTCAACAAAGTAATTTAGTGCCATGGCAATAAAGTAAAACTTTAACATTGCATTACAAGAAAAAATATGTGGTATGTTGTTATAACATTGTTAAAATAAAATATCACCAATATTTTATTAAAAATTGCTGTTAAAGACTATTGTCTGAAATAATTAATCCAATTATTAAAATCCATGTAAAACAAACAAAAAAAATTCTGGCGCAGTGGGTAGGATCGTAATTTAATTAAATCTCCGCTATAAAATCAATGAAAAAAGCTGAAATAATTGTTGTTAGTTGCGAGATGTTTGGTTCAAAATTGTTTATGAAAATGTCCGAAGCCGTTTATTTTTGATTTACTGCATCATTCAACATAAAAACAATTTCATTCGATGCACGAACACATAATTAATCTTTTATTTGCATCAATTTTGCCGTGAATTGAAAGCATTTTTATGTAAATTAGATCGAGAACTTTTTTTCGTAGTTTCATCGCACTACGGTAGGTCGCGATCACACACTGGCCATAAATTCGAGCGCGAAGAGCACTTTAATGCATATTTTATCGATTGAAATTGCCTTTTATGAAAGCTTCGAATGTAAGAGCAAAGGCCAAAACAAACAGGCAAGCTTAATTAATGTTAATTAAAAAGGGAACATGGACGGTTTCTCGGTAATTAATAGGCAGTTACGAATTATTAATGGTTTGTTTACGATTATATTGCTTATTGGAAATATTGTTCAATATTTCCATTTTGGTGGAGTTTATTCATTACATAATTTTAATGGATTTCCTAATTTCCAAAACAAAACATTGTTAAAATTGAATCTAGTTATTTCAATTTTAATCAAAAATAATTTAGTACAAATGTGTTAAAATTCAAAATAGTTTCTGCAGTTTTCTTAATTGCTCACGTTGAAAAAATTCTTAGACTTTTGCTCTCATTTGTGTTTAGTAATCTTTGACAATGGATATATTGATACATACAAATATTATACAGGATTCACCTGACTGATTCGTTAGAGATTTATAGAGAACTAAAAGACACATCAATCTCAAATGCTTGCAGAGATTTTAATGTTCAATAGTTCAAAATGTCGCCCGTCACATATTAATTCTTCTTCGGCCACCTTCAGTCGTCATATTAAGAATTGTAAGTATTGTTATTATTAGAGATGGGAGTTAAGGTTGCTAAATTGATAAATAGGTAGGTATACAGGGTGTCTCAGAACTCGCGCCAGAGAGAAAAATGGAGCGCGCTGATAGCAAATTCAAAAGTAAAAAATGTCTGGGTAATGGTGTAATCAAATGAGAGCAAAAAAGCAGCAGCCAATACCGAGAGCTCTCGTCTAGGTTAAACGTAAAAGCTTTAAAAATTGCTAGGAGACGATAGAACATTGAACATAACATAACAGAACATATTCTTTTGTCCGACTGTGTTTACTAACCTTTCAAAAAGTACATACTTCAGGAGGCCAATGTTTTAAAGTAAACAACTAGTTCTGTACCCCAGAGCCAAAATCTCTAGCAACCACTACAACCATTATCTTCCGGCTGCAGGTGCTGCACTCGCGAAAAATGAACTGTGAGAATATCCGTCGCTACATTTTATATATCCCGCGCGCCAGTACTGCTACCAACGTAAGGGACTAAAATGTAACTAAGTTATGGCGTTGACAATCTATGGAAGTGACGCTAGATTTTTGTAAGGTTTACTGTGTGTGTGTAATAACATCTTAAGATAATAAACGAGTTAAGTTACCAAAGAAAAGTCATAATTATTATCCCTATAAATTACGACATGAACGTCCTTCATAACCCGCTGAACTGTGAACGGGAAATTCGCGTGCAACTTCCCTGATGCTCTTCCTATAATTGGCATTAAAAATAGCTTCTTTATTTTCCACTGTTCTAATGCGTTAATGAGCACCTTCAATTTCTTACAACACAGAAGAACTCGTGCTGCCTCTCTAGAATTGCGCTCATACCCCCCATAAATAATCATCATTTCGGCAAAATCAGAGAAGGAAAGCATAACTTAAAATGACAGGAACAAAAATTGACAGCAGTATTACAATGAAGTGGATTCCAGTCGACCAAATATTTTACATATTAGAATATCAACAATGCATCCTAAGTATCCTACCAATTTAGAGAACTCCCTTTGGCCATGTATTGGGATTTGCTATCATTTTTTATTCTTATCTCGCTTATTCTTTACATAAGATAATTTTAATTTTTAAGTATGTGTTTCGCATAACTTTCGACAGCTCGCATTTTTATCTGTGGCCCAAGTTCTGGGACAAATGTGAAATTTATTGTATTATCTTCATAAAAAAGTATATTAAATAGTTTCTCAAAGTCAATTTTTAAAAAAATTATATGTACGTTTGAACTGACCTTTTTATTTTGCCGGCAATATGCCAGTTAGTTTCGGGTGGAGATTCCTCCGTGAAGTGCCCATAAAACATTATCTTTAGTTTCACCGTGAAAAACTGCTTCTCTTTTTAGTCCATTTTGAAGGGATAAATTTAGATTTCCATTACTCTATTTTTGTATAGATATATCGCTCGTTAAATTAAGTTCGTTACTAAAATGGCGTTTATTAAACTTGATACAAGAACACTAAATACTACCTCTAGTTATTATCCATCATGACAGAATTAACTATATGTCAATTTATGCAGCAGGGTGAAATACCCGCTTTTTTTCAAAATTAATTTGGTAATAGCAAAAATATTTTGAGGCAAAAGAAATTATCTGCAAAGTAGTTTGTAATCAAATTTATAAATAAATGGGTTACTTCTAAAGATCAGTAACGCACGGCACCTTGAGCCTCAAGGCTTGAGGCCGCTTGGGTAAGGGCTCGCTTAACGCGCTCGTACTAAATAAAAAAATAATTACGATTCTACACAGAGAAAAGTAATCTCTTGATTTAAGAAAATGCATTTATTTGAAACAGGTCTTCTTGTATGAAGTAAAGTTTTCTTATTCGTAGTAACTTGTTGTTTACCATAAGAAAATACTATTATTTGTTTAAGTTTTTTTTTATCTAAACATAATTTGTTTATGTATACTATAATAAATTTCTAAGAATAGTTGAGTGAGAATGTGAGTGCACAAATTGATATATTAAAAACAATAAAGTCTGCTTACAAGGACTTTCGAAAATAAACAAAGTTTTATATCGAATTACCTTCTAGCTGCAGCACATTGTTTTTCTACACAGAACTGTTCTTTTTTAAATTCACGAAAAATATGCATACTAAAATTTTCTTTATTATTTCAGCCAAGAAAGTAAACAATTTGAAGAAAACACACACATTATATCCGTAAGGAAAACAAAAACGATTTTTTATTTTATTTTCATAATAAAGTAGGTATATGCAGGGGGTATATTAAATGTATGGCCAATAAAAACATTTAAAAATTTTTTTACATTTAAGGATTTTTTTTTGTAATCCGAGTATACATTTTAAGTTTCTAACGATATAATGCGCCGCAGCGCGCTCTGCCTTGTGAAATTTAAATAATTAAAAGGTATGACCTTTTTGACTAGAAATTGGAGGTGACAGTTATGAAGCTTCAAAACAGTAGAAATATCGGTGAAATACATAAAAATTTAATAAAAACATGACTGTCGAACTGTATAAAAAGAAAATATTAGAATGACCATCAATACTACCTTGGAATGGATACAATTTGTTTTATTGCATCTTAGTCCAGGAAACAAAGGTTGTAGAAGGAAAACTCGATGATAGTCGGGTTTCATTTTTTTTATGTAGAGTCAGGGGTGCTGATAATAAATCAAAAATATTCCCCAAAAATTTCTTTCCGCGTCCCCTAATTTCATCCTCCGAAAGGAGAGTTTTTTGCTTTTTGGCTCATAACTTGCTAACCGTGAATTTTTTCAGAATTTGACTTCTAATACTTTTGATTATGTACTAAATAAGGCACACGTTAAACCCCATTGCGCACCTATATGATGTGCCCTTTTGCTATGCGCAGTGTGCGAAGTTGAGCGTTGCTTTCAAAATCACTTTTTTGTTTTTTTTTATTATAGCCCAATTTTAAAAGTAATCGATCCCAAACCTTACGGCAATCAAACATAACCGAATGGACGATTTTTTGAGGTACTAGACTTTTTTCAAAAGTTACTGCTTTTAAATGTACCTACAGGGGATTCTTTTTTCAAAAAATCCATTTTTTATTTTCCAAACGGCTTTAATGAGCCAGTTCGTTCTACCCTACTCTCTAAAAATGAATTAGTCAAAAATGACTAATTTAATAGTTATAAGTGGCTACTTTTTCACTTGTACCATGGTTAACCATGAGATACCATGGTATCCCAAAATTTCAGGGGACAATTTTACATAAGAATTGGCTGTTAAATTTTATGATACCATGGTATTCCATGGTTATCCATGGTACAAGTGAAAAATCAGCCACTAATAACTATTAAATAATTCATTTTTGACTAATTCATTTTTAGAGAGTAGTTGAACAATGAAAAAAAAAGAAGATAAATGTTAAAATTTTATTTTAGCCGCCTTGAAATTTAGGACAAAGCGCACGAAGATTCAGTTTTTTTAAGGATTATTACAAATTATTGCAGTCATGTGAAGGAAAAAATAACGTTAAGACCACAGCGGTAAAGTGAATTTCGAGGCTAATAAAAGTATCCAAGCTCGCTTCAGTTCGCCTGTACATTTCCTCTTTAAGCCTGAAAAAATGTTACTTTACCGCCTAGGTCTACAATACACTATTATGCTTTCCCTGTGCCTTACATTCCCAATATAAAACGTCAAAAAATATGCAAATCACTCTAAATTAATTTAAATTCTTTAAAAACTTTGTATTATGAAACATTTTTGTGCCCTTGTCTATAAACTTGGTAATTAATTTTACAAGGATTCAATAGAGAAAGCCCGTGCAGATTTGTAATTAAGAATAAATAAAACTTTTTTGGTGAATCCCCTAAAAATGTGTCGTTTTTGTTTCGAGCCGTAATAAAACCGTAAAGCTTAATGCCTTCGGACGTTTTGAGGACGAAGTAGCTGGGTGGTAAGAGCACATTAAGTGGGGCACTTTATAATCATTATCAGAGACGCTGTTGGACTGGGCAATTTTACTTATTCACAGTATGGGAGACGGGGCGGTTTATCTTTGTCTTAGCACTTTTCACGTCTTAAACGACGTAAACAAGTGTTTATTCTTTCTCTAAAAATACTTATACGATTCCTGGCACGGGATTTAATGCCTTACTTTATGAATTTATGGCGACCTGCGCTAATGGACGTCGCATTTCAAGTGACTATAAACTCATGCTGCTGCCGTTGCCAGGACGTTTTTAACTTTTTTATAATCCTGTCTACGCCACATATTAAATTTCGTGACATTTTTAAGTTTAAAGGTTTTCACATGTTCTTTTTCTCAACCATCCGCCGGCTACTTTTGACATTTCCGAGTTTATGAGAAAGCACTACTAAGTGGAATGTTCAAAAAATATAAAGATCTTTTTTTCTATATAGGTGATTTTACAAAAGTTGGGCAACTTTTGACCTCATTTTGTTTATATAGTTTTCGGAGAAAATTAAACAGTATTTTGTTATGAGAACATAGATAATATAATAAATATACTGTTCCAGACCGGGCCAGTCACTTTTTCAAACAGTTTCTGAAATATCTGTGTTTTCTAAATTTGATTGCAAGGGAAGTGATGAATATACCAGGGTACTAATTAAATACATAATTTATTGGAAAATATAAGATTTATTGCAACTTTGAGCATACTATACATTAAATATCTTAAAATCAAATAATACCACACATCAGTGGCGGCTGGTGGATTTTGGGTATACCGATATCTCAATTATTAGATATGGGACCCACACCAAATTAATATGAGTTTATAATGACATTAAATAAACAAGTTCTGCGCAAACAGAATTTAAATTGAAGTTTGCGAAAAAAAGATAACCGAAACATCTAACATGGAACTGACGACACGGTACTGATGAATGGGATACAAATTTGAGATTATAATTCGGAATTAAGTATTTTACTGATATTTTTTATTGGTGGGTGCTACTTATCAACTAATTGTCAGGCTTCGAGCCTACCCAACCGTACTACTACTACTATCAACAAATTACATATAGCCTTATATAAATAACAATGAAATATATATACGTAAGAAAATAACTACTCACCACAAGACTGAAGTTTTGACTGAAACTATACGTGCAATCATCACAACTTCGCCGCTTGCATTGTTTTCAAGATGACTGTCGTGCGAAGGGCGGGCTCTGCAGGTAATTTTTTACCAACACTTGAGTTAAAACAAGGACTTGACGTTTAAACTTCAATATTTCGCAGAAATTTTGAATTTTAACATTTGACACAGAACTGACGGGTAAAAGTGAGTACAAAGATTATCAATTTTTTAAAAATTGCTATTATTCGAATCTATAATAAAATTTGAAAAAAACAATATTTAATGTTTTATAGTTTGTATTGAAATTAAAAAATTTAAGATAAATTGAATATATTTTAAAATAAAATCATTCAAATATTTGATTCAGGAGTTGTGACTGATGTTTTGAATATTATTATGTTTTTCTACAAACGTGCTTTTGAAAAAAATTGGATGGACAAGTTTAAAAAACCTGGATCTTTTGTAATATACCAAAATATTTATTAAAAATATTAAAATACCTACTCTATCGACTGATGACATCAAGTTGTCCAACTTTTGTAGAATCACCCATATAACAGTTTGTTAATTGGATTATACTATATCTCGTATATAATATTAAATTATCAATTACTTCGTCTCAAAACAAATAAAACCTATACGGACAAGGGATCATAATTTCGTTTGTGTTCCGCACCATACAGCAACTTGGTACTGATGAGCTCCAACAGAGCGAAACAGCTGTCTATCGATGCTGGTGAGGATTACAAATCCGTGCTTGGTATAGGTGTATCAGGTCAAAATTCAAAGATATTTAATTTTTAAGTTTTGGAGCATCCCATTAGGAAACACCCTGTATAAATATAAAAAACTCAATTGAGCTGGACCACACATCAATTTCAAATTGAAAACAAAACAAATTCTTGCAAAATATGAGTATAATTGAGGATATATTATATAAAACGAAATAAAAAGCATAGGAATGTTGGGACAAGAGGTGAAATATATTATTTTACAAATTATAATATACCAGTATACACAGTGTGTCCCCGGATTGAATTGCCAATAGGAAAAACTTTTTTGGACCTGATACAGCTAAACCGAGCACAGATTTGGAATCTACCACAAAAAATTATGTTTACGTGTCCGAGCGTTTAGCTGTGATATTTTAAGAGTTAAAGATTTATCTTTAAACAATGTTTAAAACCTATAGATCAGATTTTAATATTGGCTTCCGATTCATCTCCTTTTAATACAATGCGCAAAATGTGCAAAGGTACAAATGTAATATAGTTTTAAAAATGTGGGTAGGGCAAGCCATAACAAGATGATTTTTTATGAGACAAAAAAAGCCGGCACAATACAAATAAAACATGCGCACAAACCCAATCGAAGACATTTGTAAAAATCGATTCAGTAATAACTATTGCTAGAGATGGGATTAAAGGTTGCCAAATTTATAAAAATAGTACCTAAATAGGTAAAGTTTTTTCTTGTTTTAAGTGAGAAAATTCTTAAATTAGGTAAGTACTGGAAAGCAACTTTTGGTTGGTAAAATAATTTAATTTATTATTGAATAAAATTGTATTGAACAAGATTTTAATGATTTGTAACATTTCAAAATAATTGAAGAATATATCTTGTAATTTTTTTTAATTAATATCATTAAAAGTTTTATAAGTTTTTAATGCGGCGGAACTGTTTTTGTTAAAAGGCATACAGTTTCTAAAAATAAAAAATTCACATTTATTATGATAGAAATGTTTAAAAAAATATTTTCTTAAAAAAAGCACAAATTTGCTAAAATTTGTAAAAGTACATAAGATTTTTAAATAAAACATGATAACATGGGATTATAGGGAAAAACTTGAGCTCTCATGCAGAAGCATGAGACCTGGCAACATTGCACAGAAATGTCACATTCGAGTCGATGTTTGCGATTCCCAGTGCCAACCACTCCCAACCAACCCACATTACCAATAATGTACAACATGGTGCATAAGAATTATGTCATTCAAATAAGAAAACCCCAACATTACAAAATATCATGTTTTTATGGTAGAATTTGAAAATTTTGTTCATTTTTGTTAAAAATAAGAACTTAGGTGAAATGAGTAAAATTACACTAGTTTATGCAGTAAAATGTAAAAATTAAGTCAATTTCTCTTGAAAATGAAAATTTAGGTAAAATAGATAAAATAAAATCAGGCTTAAATGAATTTATTTTCTTCAAAACGGATTTTATTCTATTGCACCTAAAGTTATAATTAGCGTAAACAAATGGGTAATAACACTAAAATCCCATCTCTAATTATAACTAATACAATTAGTGGCCTGGTGGCGATCCATGGTATTATTGGACTTCACGGTTTGTCAACAATACATTTAAATCATACCAACTGCACATCATTTTTAAATAAATAAGTGTCGAATTTTTTTTTGCACAGTTTCAATTGCACTGCTTAACCGCGCAAGTTATATGTGTTTCGCGATGCAAGTAAAAATTAAAAAACTTTGCTTGGTTTAGTACTAGATTTCGATTTATTATTCTTTATATGCTTACATAGTAACGGACCGCAAGCATCCCCGCGACATTGTACCCGCTTTATCCCTCTTTGTGCATCGCACCCGCTTGGAGAAACTATGGCCATGAGTGTCATCATCCATACCAGCAACAAGGTAGGACTTTAGTTTATTAGTATTCTTACTGGCCACGTTTTATCTATTCACAAAAATCAGTCAACTAAAACCACCAACCCCTATTTTCTTACATTCATACAGTCCACTGCCTAAAATAGTAATTCTGTAACAAGTTTGGAATATGCAATTACAAATTTGTTTCAGACTATACTTTTTCTACTTTTCCAAAAAATATCATAAAAAAATAATTTAATTAAGAGAAAGTGAGGTTGGATCGGTCTAAAAGTGGTTTGATAATAAACACAGAGACAGAGAGAATAATTCATTCTGTAACAGTTTAAGGAATATATGTAATTCCACATTAAAAAGTGATGTTAGAAATTTTTCGTTATCAAATTTAAAAAAAAAACAGTTGAAAAGAACTATTAGTATAGATAACACATTTTTTTCTATACTAACGACAATGCCAATAGCGTCGACGGGGTAATAAAAAGGTACGACGCATATGTACAGAATATTAAAAATTTTAATTTTAAGAGCGCCTATATAATAAAATTTCCGTAGGCATTCTTTATTCGAGGCATGTAGCAGGTCCCCGGTTTCTCGCGCTCTAATCCATTTAATATCTCGAGCACGTGGTTTTGGTTTAATATGGAATTTCCATAGCCGAGATTCCTTCGCCGCTTCAAGCGCAGCACTGCTCTCTCTCTCCCTGCATGTTTCCTTATCATAATTTCCCGCTAACTTTATTTTATCTATTACGTAGTTACGACCTAATAATATCCCAACAACTTACGGGGATACGTCACAAAGTTAGCCAAATAAAGGAAAATAAAAAGGTTCACCTAACGATCGTATCAATGCATTTGGGCAATATTCAAATATGTAGTTTAAGTATATTAGGGTGTGCCAAAAAAGTCGATATTTTTTTTTCTTGCTCTCCACCCAAAATATCGTAGAATATGTCCGAACAAATATCCTGTTAAAAGCGGAGCTCATAATTTCAATTTTAAGAGGTCCTCCATCGAATCTGAAGTTTTGCCGCTTAAATAAAACAGAAAACTGACTTTTTTACCTTATTTATTCTTGCAACCTAGGAAGAAATTTTTTTTTCATAAAATCCATGACCAAATCTTACAAAGCATTAAATTTGAACGAAAAAATCTTATTAAGCCGAATTTCTATTTTCAATATTTGATTTTTTACAGAGCTTTAAATTTAAAATATTACGTTTTTTGCCTTTTTCAGCCAAACTATTGAAGTTAGACGAAAAAGTCAAATGGCAATTTTTTAGCTTGATGGACCACAAAAAAGTTTAAGGCAAATTTTTTGTATCGTCAATATTCTAAAAGTTACAGACGTATAAAGTCATCATTTTTGTAATATTAACTTTAAATTTAAAGCTCTGTAAAAAATCAAATAATGAAAATAGAAATTCGGCTTAATAAGATTTTTTTGTCCAAATTTAATGCTTTGTAAGAATTAGTCATGGATTTTATGAAAAAAAAATTCTTCCCAGGTTGCAAGAATAAATAAGGTAAAAAAGTCAGTTTTCTGTGTTTTAAGCGGCAAAACTTCAGATTCGATGGAGGACCTCTAAAAATTGAAATTATGAGCTCCGCTTTTAACAGAATATTTGTTCAGACATATTCTACGATATTTTGGGTGGAGAGCAAGCAAAAAAAAATATCGAGTTTTTTTGGCACACCCTAAAGTATATATATTTTATCTAAAATATTTGAAAACAATATTGCAGCATATTGAAAAAACTAAATCCCCTGAAATTCGATATGTCAAAATTAATCTTCGGCACAAATCGATGGTTATTTGACAAAACATCGTAAGCGACAATTTTCTTGAATTACTTATTATTTTATCAAAGTGTCAGTTACGATAAGCTGCACATCTTAACATAATAGTTATTCCAATTTTGGAATCTAATATTGGTCAGTTTGAATATTTTTATTATTGTAAGCGCTTCTTCTTTTTAATTTGTTACCGATTTATAACGTAAGTCCGATAAATAATCGTAAGCAACTCCGAGACATGGCGTTTGCGATTTAACATTGTGTCGCTTACGATAATATTGCGCTCCCGCCTTGATCTATCAAGGCGTTATTCCGGCTCTAAACAGTTTATTCGTGAGTATACCTGCCTAGTGGTGATTGCTACCACAATCCACAATGTGGATTGTGATTGCAATGCAACTTTAAAACAATATTTTATTTGATCAAAAGCTTATAATTCCTTTTTATCATTGCATTATTAATAGTTATCCTAATTATAATTGTTTTTACGTAGTATGGTTCGTTAAAAGTGTTTTTTGTAGTAATTGTATGTTGTTATAACGTCAAACGACCAGTTGATTTCAAAATGTAAAATTGCCTTTAGTGACAACTAACCTTACTTTCCGAAAGTTGTCGGTTTGACGTATTTCATTGTTGATTGTGTTGTTTTAGGGTTAGATTCTCTGTCTACTTTTTGAAACTGCTTGTCATCTTGTCAAAAATGTCCGTAAAGGTTGGTTTGCACAGACATTTTTTTAAATGACAGAAGTTTGATGTTCGAAATTTTTTGTCCGCTATTGTACCATGGGATAGATCATGGAGCCTACACCGAACATCATGTAAACAAGAATCTTCCTAAGATAAGAGGGCGCTGGTGTTCCGTTTATTCTGAAACAATTGTTTAATTTGTACCGAAACGCTAGCATCGGCAATCAGCGCCGCTGGTGGTGAAAAAAAAAATTAATTTTTACAATTTAGAGGGCAGGTTTTGTCAATTTCCCCTATTAAGTTCGGGCTCCTTGTGTAGGCCCCATGGGTTAGATACTGGGTTAGATACTGGTTTGTGAATAAAATCAAATCTATATCCCACAAAGTAATGTAAATGTAACTTAAGCGACAAGATTTATTTTACATTTTCCTAAAGATTTTCTTATAAAATATCGTATGCCACAAAATTTAATGAAAATTTTAGATTGGATTCGATCTAACTTAAATATTTGAATTCTACATTAATAAAATAATGCCTCACCAGTTCTCAGATAAATAACTTTAAAAAAAGCTCCCACACAAAAAAAATCTCTCCTGTAAAATTTAGGTTTTGTCGCTTACGATGTTTTGTCAAATAACCATCGATATGCTAATACAGGGATTTTTAATAATATGGTATTTTTAAGTTGGTATCACATTTTTCCTCATACCCAAACAAGTAAAAAATAATTAAGTAGTTAAAGAGGATAAATGAATCTTCCCTGCTAAGCTGATCGTGCATATTGTATTGAAGGCGCCCCAGATTTGTCGTGCTTTATTTAACCAAACTCTTGGCTTAAGGGCGACTGCAGACTGAATACCATTAACAAAGTTTAGGTGGATTGCAATAATCTGGACAGACTTATCAATATGGAAATTCAAATGACCCTGACAATATTGATATTTGCTTAATTAATTTTCTCGACAGAAATTGCCAACAATGACGTGGAAATTGCTTTTAGCCTCAAGTTTAGCCAAGTTTATCGACCAAATGTACACCCTAAAGGTTTAATTATTCTGTTTTGACATACCGAATGTTGCAATATATAGGGTGATCCATCGAAAACACTACAGCAAGGTTTACGGCTTTGTATGTGAAAATAAAAAAAAATTCAACCATAACTTTTTTATAAATGGCTCGTCGATTTTTAAATTTACGCAGCGGGTTGCCAAAAAATTTAATTTATTTTTATTGATTAGAACTCACATATTATTATATTAACTGTTCAAAGTTTTCCCGGACATTGTGATATTCTTATCGGCTGTAATTTGTTGATATTCGCTAATGCATTAGTGATGCGGTTTCGTAAATCTTCAAGGCTGGGTGGCATCCATTTTGTATTTCAGATGTCCCCACAAAAATAAATCAAGGGGACATAAATCCGGTGATCTCGCGGGATATTCGATAGCACCACTTCTCCCAATCCATCTACCAGGAAACGTCCATAAACTGTCTTGCTGAAATATCGCATTTTCTTCATAGTAACGTTAGTCGTTTTCTATAAATTCCATTAGAGCTGGGTTTACAACTCTAAGTTAGTAGCTCCACTTAAATTTCCCGGTAAAAAAATGGACAAATTCAATCACCAAAAATACCAATTTTCTGAGGAACAGCAATAGATTTTTAAAGCCTTTATCATTCAATTAAACCTATTTTTTTTAACTCCCCGTATATTTTTACATTTTTAAATTCTACAAAAAATTCTGAGTGAAATTACTTTACCATGCCATCCTATACCTAAAGTAAACAGTTTTCGAGTAAATCAGTTTTTTCGTTAAAATTTGACAAATGAGCATCAATCAAAAATAGTTGACATTCTACAGCTTTATTGATTTTGTTTTCAAAATTAGCAAATACTGTTTCTATTACTTTTAAATTCTAAAAACGTTTGGCTTGTCATGTTTTTTAAAATTCACTGACTGTTTTTATCAGTAATTTTGTTTACAAAACACTTCATTAGTCAACAAATTGTTTATAACAACCCATAAAATTGACGCCAATAAATTTTAAACAATAACAGATTACGTGGTAAGTTACCACTGGTAACAGCAGTTACCCGTCACTGGTTTCTTGACACAAAATAATGTTTAAAATTTAGATATAGGAATAGTTACATTAATCGAATTGTTTTATAACATTGTTACATTTCAAATAAAGAAGTCATGAATATTATAAACAATCTTTTAGGATTCCAAAAATTTTACCCCAATATCCGTAAACCTAAAATTCTAGAAAACTATTTACTTTAGGTATAGGACATGGTATAGTAATTTTATTTAGAATTTTATGTAGAATTTAAAAATGTAAAAATATATGGGGTGTTCTATTTGAAATAACAAAGTTGATGTCACTTCCGGTCACTCCGGAAGTGGCATTTTGTTTAAAATATTTAAAAAAAATAGACCTAAATTTTTAAATTTCAAATCGATACCTTTTTCCGTTAACCTAAAACTTACAATGGGCCACGAATGTGAAACACCCTGTATATCAAGTGGTGTTTTTTAGGTTGTAATACCACTAAAAATTCTAACGCATCGTCAAACTGAAAGATCAAGATTAATAATAAAAATCCAAAACTAACAAAAAAAGTAAAAATTATTATTTTTTTACTATAATTTTTGCATTATTAAATATAAAAAATTTTTGAAATAAAATGATTTATAACAAAATAGAGAATTAAAAATCTGTAAAGGTTAAAATAATAAGAATGGAGTTTAAAAAATTTAAATGACGTGATTTCGTGAATCGGTGAGACCGATCTGTTAAAATTTTTCATGGGAAGAAAATCGTTCTGAACTGTGTTATTGGAAATACTTTTGTTGATTTACATTAATAACCTAATACAAGTAATACTTTTCAAAAAAGGATATTTTAAATTCAACATTCTTTTAGACAATACTATACTTTAGACTTGGCCAAAAAAATCAATTATTTTTTTTTGAAAAGTATATCGAAAATATGGTTTGGGGTGACAAAAAAAATTATTGTGAAAGTTTTAGTCCACAATATTATTATTACCTAAGAGGTCTATCATCACAATTTTAATTTTATTTTTCCTCAGCAAGTTTTAGGCTCAGAACTCCCAAACCATTGAGTTTAACAAAATTGACTAAGAAAATTAAATGCTCTACAAAAAAGGTTAAAATGAAATTTTCCGTCAGATGAACCGTTTCCTTAAAATCATGCCTTAAAATTTGTATAGTTTTACATTTTGATCTTTTAAATTGGAATTTTGTAATTCATGTAAAAATCAGTACCCATAAAAAACGATTAATATTCTTATGGAAAATTAAATGCTTTACAAAAAAACCCTCTTAACATTTTTGACTAAATTCACTCAATCAAAAGTTATTCAAGGTTAAAATTTCGTTTTGACTTCAAATTTAACCTTGAATAACTTTTGATGGGGTGAATTTAGCCAAAAATGATAAAAGACTTTTTTTTGTACAGCATTTGATTTCCAATAAGAATATTTAGTTTTTATTCACGGTAATGAATTTTACTTGAATTACAAAATTCCAAACTTAAAAGATCAAATTGCAAAACTATACCAATTTTTAAGGCATGATTGTAAGAAAAGGGTTCCTCTGACGGAAAATTCCAATCAAACCTTTTTTGTGCTAAACTCAATGATTTGGGAGTTCTGAGACAAAAACTCGCTCAGGAAAAAAAATCTAAAATTGCGATGATAGACCTCTTATATATATATTAATATATTATGGACTCAAACTTTCACCATAAATTTTTTTGTCACCCCAAACAATATTTTCGATATACTTTCCAAAAAAAATAGTCGATTTTTTTGGCCCAGTCTACTATACCTACTTAGGCCCAGTTTTATCATCACTAGTTAAAATTAAATTGCTACTTAATTGGTAGTTAATTTGTTTTTGTGTTTTACAATTGGTAGTTATTTATCAAAGTGCAGATTATGTTTGGGTTTCCGTTACTTCGATTTCTTGTATTAGTAAAGTTGTGGTTAACCTAACATTTAATATTGTGCTAATTTTAAATATGAATTTATTGAACATAAACTTTTGTCAACAGGAAGAAATGTGAAAAAAATATGGAAAACTATACATGAAATAATTAATATAAAACCTAGAAAAACAAATAATAAGATAGATAGACTAAAATACAAAAATAAAGAATACACTGAGAGTAAAGAAATGGCTAATATCTATAATAAATTCTGCTAAATATATAATAATACATGATATAACATTTCAAAAAGTTACAAATAATAAAACTATTTTTATGTTTCCTTGTACAATGAGTGAATTAGGAAAAGTTATTACATCTTTGAACTTTAGTAACTTAGGTAATGATAATATTACTAATAAAGATAGTAAAGAGATTTATCCTAACATAAAAGAAACCATACTTAAATGTATAAATAACTGCTTTAAGACTGTAAATTTTCCTGAAAAATGTAAAATATCAGGTTCCGCCTATATACAAAAAAGGTAGTAAAGATCCAGGAAACTACTGTCCATTATCTATTACTTTTATTTTCTCTAAAATTATTGTTCAAAAAATAATTTTTATTAGGAAAAAACATACATTAAACAGCGCAAATAAGGTTATATTTGACGATTTCCGGTAAAATTCTATACCAACCTGACAAAAATATGTCAAAAGTTGTGATTCTGTAAGTAATACTTCAAAATGCGTGAAAAAACAGATTACAATTTAACTAACAATTTGCCGCTAGTTAAATATAACAGTAACTTACGAAAGTGCTAATTAAATGCAATATTGAAAAACCGGGCCTTAGTAATCTAAATACCCACCAGAGGCGCTGTCGCGCGTGCCCAGGACCGACGAGGGTCTCGGATGGGGTCTCTCCTCTTCTAGCACCTGCTCCAGCTCTTTCTTGTACAAATTAAAGACAGTGGCGACGCACTTTAGGCGGGCCTTCCCGCCCTGGAAGGTGTTGCCGTCGATTTCGAGCTCGAGGCCCGCCACTGTAACCAGGGGCGTGCGGCGACTATTGGCGGCTAGGGCGTTGGGCTCGGCGGTGTGTCTTAGGTAGCTCTCGTTTATCTGGAAAAATAGATATTGGTTTAGAGTTTTAATGAATAATAGCTATTTACATACCATGGGAGGAAAATATTGCATTTCCTCCCGCGAATAGTTTGATGCCCGACGCGAAGCGAAGGGCATTAAATATTCAAGGGAGGAAATGCATTTTCCTCCTGAGGTATGTATATAGTTTTTTCTATTACCTTTTAACGGTTTTAAGACATTTTAAGCGTTCCGGTTCCTTTTACCTACCCGGTATGAGGCTATAAAATTATGACAAAATATTAAGTAGGTTTAGCCGACGTTATGTTGACAACGCTTTGTTGCTATGGTATTTTTGGTAATACCAACATAACAGTTTTTATAAGCTGTCATAATGTTTATCATAAATTTTATATTTGCAATTAATTTCCTTCCTTAAAAATCTAAAATAGTGAATATAAATATAGTTTGTTAAAAGAATGTTAAAAGAATGGTTGGACAAGCGCGGAGTAAATCTTTTTCCTACAAAATCAAGGTACAAAAACTCTTGCCAATATAAATTTTAAAAAAAAGAGGGAGGAAAGTTTTTTTCCTCCCGGGGAGGAAATTTTTTTTCCTCCCGGGGAGGAAAAGAGGCATTTTCCTCCCTCGCTCGGGGGTGGAAAATTAAGTTTTCTAGTAAGGTAGTAGAAAAAACTAGTTTTTATATTATTTTGTTAAAAACGTTTATAAAGTAAATCTATGCTTATATTTTTACCAAATTTGACTATTAATTTTTATTTTTGTATTTATTACAGTGGTTCGGGCAGTACATTGTTTGTCATCCTATTAAATTTAATTTAAAAAACAGAAAATTTTCCAAGTGATTTTATATACATGAATTAAAAAATCTAAAAAATATTATTTAAACGCGACAACATTGCATGTTTTTAATGGTTGGTTTCTATGGTAACACTTTTCGCTTTTGACAGTGGCAGTGACGGTTCTATATGCAGTGTTATTTAAAATCTAAAACAGAGTCCACCACAAAAAAATCAAACAAAGGTATGAAAACAAAAAATAAATAAACAGAAAACATGCAGTATGATAAGGGTTTTAAATTTTCTGAAAAATTGAGCGGAAAAATTGGGAAATTTTCAAAAAAATTTCCTTTTGAATTTTGCTCATTTTATTCAAAGGGTCAATTTCCAAATTTTTGCGGATAATATCCGTACACTGATATCGAAAAAAAATTAAATTTCCGACGCTAATTATAATCATAATATTATGATTTTAATTCAGTATACTCTTATAAGAGTATATTCGGTGATGTTAAGCGGTTTTATTTGACACTTTAATTTATAAAATTATAATTTTGTAATTTAACTTTATAAATCATTCATTATTTTTTAATTGTATATTTAACGATTATGTTTATTTTCTTAACTTAATTTAATTTAATTCAATATTTATATCTTTTTCCTAGTAATAAATGTTTTTTTTTTAATTAAAATATTGTTAAGTTGTTGATTGCTCAATCAATTTTTTCCAAAAAAGACAATTTTTACAAGACCTGAGAAAAAAAACGAAAAAACCCTGTTTTTCCCCCAATTTTTTCCTTTTTTTCCACAATTTAAAACCCTAAGAATGATGAATGTAAGTTATAATTTAATTGTTTTTTTTTAATAATTTATTTTAAAAACGAAATTATGGTAGTAACCAAATAAATAAAACCAAATATCCCCAGATAATCGCGTTGCCAGATCTTCTAGACGAGAATGACAGATTGATAATTTTGCTTGTACACAGTCAACAATTTCGTTTATTATTGTAAAACTGTAATGTAAAAGTGAACAAAAATTTACATGGCAATTCTACAGGCATAATTAACGCATATATTATAACATGACAATAGGAAATCGATAATTTTTTTTCTCGTATAGACTTATCCCTGTAGAAGTGGAATACGGTTTTGTTAAAATTCACAACACAGTTAAGAAATGAAAAACCCATGTAGTCTTAGCAACTTTAAAAACTTTTTATGGAAACCACACTGAAAAAAATAAGCTATTGAAAAAACAACAAAAATATTAATTCAACTCTTTATGCACTTTAAATACAAGCAATGGTTTTTGCACCTTTACTTAACCATCTAAAAATATCAAATTGTATTGTTTAATTGAACAACAAATAACACTGAAATGATCAAATTAATTTAACATTATTGATATGTCGAAGTAATATTTCGAAAATGGTTGGGCTAACGTTCTTAAGATGTTAAGGTAAATTTATTATTTAAATGTCCAGGTAACCTTTAGAATATTCACTTAAAAGTTTGAAGTTAAAACCAATAAAATGTTAAATTAAAATAATTTAGAATTTGCGGTAATGTTCCAAAACGGTTGGGTTAACATTCTAAAAATGTAAAAGTAACATTCCTTAAAGGTTGGTATCCAAAATTATGGAATTAATATAAAGAGGAAGAATTGAACCTTCACCTCGCCAGAGTTTTTGTTTTGAGTGCGTTCCACCTACAGTAGGTGACCTACTTCAAATACCGACAGAAAGCTGTTTCGACCTATATTTGGAGTCTCATCAGTGTCCGGCAATTTGGTGTAGTGAAACACACCCAAATAAAACGGCTACCTGAGCTTATATACTACTATGGTAAGCCAACTAAGAACATCCCGTGATCCACACCGTCTAATGACGCGACGTCATGACGTGGCGTGGGTGTTCGAAGCGCCATTCACAGCAATTTTATGAATGCAAATTTAACATTTTAAATTTTAAAGTAACACTTACAATTTGTTAAATGACCAAATTTAAAGTTTTGGATTAAAGAGAAACTAAACGTTTATTTAATAGTTTTTTTTAGGTAATCCTAAAAATATTAGTATTCCTAGCTAATAAATCAAAATATGATAAACATTTTAATTCAATTTTTTTTATGTTAAATCAATATTTTTACTGTCAAATAAACTGACAAACTCTGACTATTGCTTTGACACCAAAATATAGATTAGTCCACAATCCACACAACAAGGTCTGTTCTATCTCATGCTAAAAATCACTACAACACTGCACAAAGTTTAACGGCGGCCATTTTTGTTGTTTATAATTCTTGTGCTTTGGGTTTGTGCTGTTTAATAATTGTGTTAAACGTTGTTTCTTACAGAGGCACTTGTAAGCCTCAAATAAGGCCTTTAAGTGCGAAGGACAACCATTTTACTCCTTTTTATAATAAATATACCCAATTTTATCAGGGCTGTCAAATGACAATTTGAAGGTTAATTTGTGGGTTATAATTTAACCTTAAAATTGACATTTGACAGTTTTATGACAGCCCTGATAGAATAAAGTTTATTTTTTACAATAGAGGAGTAAAATGGTTGTTCTTAGCACTTTAAGGACTCTTTTAAGGCTTACTATGAGAAACACAACGTTTAAAACGATTATTAATCTGTATAAACAGAGCACAAACCCAAAGCACAAAAATTGTAAACAACAAAAATGGCCGCCGTTAAACTATAGATGACCGAAGGTTAAACTGTGCAGTGTTGCAGTGATTTTTTGTATTTTTAGTACTAGATAGAGACCTTGTTGTGTGGATTGTGGATAAATCCAATAGGTTTTTTGATGAAACAACATTTTCAAAAATGACATTTAGGCAAACGTTAACTCAACTACATTTTTTCGGTGCAGACGGTCAATGTTTCTAAAACTTTGTAAATGTTGACTCTATTTTAACCTATCATTTTTTCAACATTTTCTCATGGCGACTAATATCGTGCCCTAACCTCCCTAACAGATATGTTTATTAATAATCACATATCTTTATAAACTAAAACGTGAGAAGAATAATTTATTTTAAAACAAAATAAAAAATATGCTTGTATTAGACATAAAACTTAAATATGATTGAAAATAGTGATATTTTTTGTACGCTAAACAAAAATAATGACCAATAAAACAATGTATTCACGATGGCTTAATATGACGCGCCATTAACCGAATTTCCTGCAATGTGACATATTGACCCCAATTCCCCGTGCAGTACAATGCTTATGGTACAAACGTTAAAGTACGTCGTAAATTGACCCAAATGTCGTTTACATCTGTCACTGCGTCTGATACGAATTAGGCGAAATCATCACGCAAAGCATTGTAGCAATTCCCATTGCATCCTTTAAGGCACCAATTCCCTCTATATTGTATTTGCATTGCATGCATATGTGGTTGTTTGGTAAAGCCGTGTTTTGAGCGGCATGTTTTCCGATTCCTGATACGATCAATTTGGAATAAATATATATATATATATATATATATATATATATATATACAAGGTGTTCCTAAACTTATTATCATAAATTTAGAAAAAGATTGAGCAAGTCAAATAAAGACGAAAACCGTAATAAATATTTTTCCTAATTACTTATGTTTCCAAGATACAAAAAAAGTCCTCTTTTAGTTCCACCCTTACTTCCTAAGAAGTCCCAGAAGCCAACTGAATGGCTTGAGTGGGTTAGAAGTAGGAACGGACCGCGGGCTTAAGGTCCCCTCTGAAAGACTATTACACAATAGGACAAACACAAATAAACAGCCCCTGGTGGTATTCGAACCCACAACCCCACAACCACTATAAGTGGTTCAGCACTAACCACTAGTCTACCATCGGAGGTGATAAAGTGTTACTTATCATATCAGTTTTTTTAATATAACTTCTACTATGGTAGACTTGGAAAGGTAATATTTTGCGAACAGTCACACTACTAAAACACATATTCACACATAATTACAATTGTTTGAGTGAACACAGTGTCGTAGAAACGGGGGTTGCTTTAAGCTTATTGTCCCACACAAACTTTGAGGTTAGGTTTTTATAACATTTGATACAATTTTTAGATTACACACAGTTCGGCTACCATTAAAAAGGTTTTCCTCTCAAACTTCGATAAAATAAACCGTTTCCGAGATATTCGAGATTACAATAATTGTTATCGATCCTTCCGATTCACCCTGTATATCATTTGTAAGCAGATTGCAAATTAAAACTGCAATAGGGTATTTTCAATTTAGTCCAGTCAAACCGTGGTAAATGGCCTTGTTTTTTTTATAAATCGATAGGGGCTTATTTAAAAGCTTAAAACCAAATTTGCACCGCCTTACCATTTCTTCTT